CTTGTCCTTCCACACTGACCGAAGAGTCGGCGTGAGTATATATTGGTCCAAGGACCCTGAAAATTAACGGTGCCCATAGAAACCACATCTTCGTCGTCAATTACGTGCTCCTATTCTCCCAAATAGTATAAAGACAGGACCGTAACCCGTACTCTCCCGTCACCTGCTGGATAACGCCAGTAGATGAGGATGCGGAGTAGTAGCAAACTGGTTGTGATCGATATTCCCCTTTAAGCGAGTCACGTAAGTCGATCGCCGTATGTTTGGAATAGGTCAATGGATTAGCGTCCTTCAGCAGTTACATAGTACAACTACAGGCTCCCGCGTCAAGTAGACCCTAAAACGCTAAGAGGAGAGAGGGAAAAGAAAAATAAAAAAGAAGAAAGTGCTATTAGTCTGATAGATGCCGTCGCCTGCCCCCCGAGTAGTCGCTCAGCAACGCCCACGAACTTCATTAGGGGGCGCTTTGCAATACAGCCCTTTCCCGTCGGCGCACTTGAAGCCGGTATCAGCAGCCTCACGGCAGGCAGCCTCCCACTCTTTCCCTGCGATCTGGTCGCTGCCGGTAGACTTCACGCACTATTTGAGTCGTTAGGGCTGTTATCCGATCAGGTCGCCAGAGATAATCATACCTGTCCAGAGGAGGCGTCGAAGTCGCCCTTTCCCCACCGGTGCTGCTTTGAGGCGTACAGCTCGCATGCCTTCGCGGTGATACGCAGGTTGGGATAGCCGCTGTTGTGACACGCGCAGCTATCGTGAAGGTTGGCAGAACTTTGGGGACGTTAGGCGAGACAGCCCGGGTGGAATAGCTAGGAATGCCTGGGACTTACGCGACAGAAAGGAGGGCTAGGCCGGCGGCGGCCTGCAAGAAACACAGCTGCATCGTCACACAGAAAGGTTCGATGCTCCGCTACTACCGTCGCACCGTGGGAAACAACAAGTGGAACCTGGCCGTTTGTGTAGGACGATAAAAACGCTATGCCCGGCTGATAGGCTGCATAAAGCAGCAGTGAAGAAGTGGAGAGGCACTTTAACAATAAGTTTGAGTACGATTAGGGCAAGCGGAAGCCTCGATCATGATGGCACGAGGCGGCCCGTCTGGTTTTATATTCACAGCCCGGTGGTAGGGGATAGCCCTCCTGGTAGCTAGCTCAGCGGCGTGTTAAATCACCAAGCGGCATGCATCCAGCTCCATGTGGCTCATGGTGTTTGCCCACCGCGCCCACTAGACGTACCAGTTATGGGCTGCTAGGAGCACGTCCGCTTCTTTACCTGGTAGCTGGAGTTGCCGCCGGACAGAGCGAAGCTCATTTCCGTCTTCTGATGTCCGTCTTTCGTCTCGCGGACTCCGCCCTCCCGGCCGTCATTAGATGCAGATGGCTGTTGTGGAGCCACGTGGAACAATAGACAGCCCTCTTTTTTCTTTTTTTTTTCTTTCTTTCTTCACATGCGAAGCGCATATACCCATCTGATTGCAAACCTATCTATCATCGTCTTGCCCATCGTCTAGGTGAAAGATACGACGACGAGAGGCTATAGCGTCGAAGGTCATGGGCAGCGTGGCCCCGAGGCCCACAGCTGATGAACAGCATTCGTTAGGACAGGGTATTTTACACTAGTGTTCGGACGGAATGCCCCTGTCACCGAGCAGAACTTCTGCACATTCCTTTGCAGAAACCCCGTCCCATTTTACTATACTAAGTAGAATCTCGATTAGGATTCTTGCAGCCACTGGGCATGTCCTTCGCAACGCCTCGGCAGCCCCGAAAGTAATCCAGGTTACGCCCAGCAGCCCGTGATGGCAGTCATGCGCGTACTGCCTGTCGTTTCCTACTGTCCGCGCGTCAGGCTTCGTCTATCCGAAGAAAAGGGAAGGCAAAATCATCTTGAACCTTCCCTATCAAAAGGCTCCCTTTGCTGGAAAGTGGTCGTTCGCCGGGAACAAGGATACTCGTCGTCGCCGAGCCGTACGAACCCTAGCGAGGGCCCTGTCTGGCTCGCAAGCTTCGTTATGTCGCCCCGCCGCTGCCGCTAGTCTGGACCTGGGTGCCGTATATGCCTCAGCATGAGATCGTCTGCGCAGTACCTACTGCAGCAGACAGTCGATACTATTGCTAAACAGGTTTTATCAAACTAGACGTCAACGGATTAAACAATAACAAAAGCACAACGTCTAAAAGTATATGAATAGCCGCAGTCGTCTAGTCCATCTCCAGAAACATCTCGCCTCCTCACTACTCTGCGCCCTACGCTTCACGCTCGTTTCTCTTACCCAGCCCGCGACTAGCTGACTTCTTCTCGCTCCCATCACTTCCCATCGTCCGCCCACCTATCAACAGACTGGGCGTTTGTTATTGACATATCATACAAGATGAGACGGTCGCTCCTCATCACTACATTCAACCTACTCAATGTTGCTGTAGCTGTTGATGTCTCCCAGCCAGCCCCTTACCCTCTGAGTTTCGACGACGTCGTCGCTGTGAACGAGGACGGTTCCCACAGAATCCTCAAGACAGCAGAGTATGACGCTCTACTAGCGCGTGTTGCGCCCGAAACCGTCCAGATGAACGTGCGGGTCACTGAGGGGGGCGGCCTCACCCGTCGTGACTGTAGAGGGAGCACGGAGGTCCAGGTCGAGTCTGACGAGGAGTTTCTTAACTGGGATGTCGCTATCTCGCCCATATTGAGCTCCCATGGAGGCACTGCTACTGTTTCCGTGGCTAAAGGCTACTCCGTTGGGAATTCAGTTATTGTTGGCTCGACCGCTAACGTTGCCTTCGCAAAAGTGGCCCTAAGCATGTCTCTATCGGTTAATTACGCCCAGCGTTGGACGACTTCCGATAGTCAGACTCTCAGCTTCACCGTCCCGGAAGGCCAGCATGGCCTCGTCGTGTCACAGCCGCTCGTCCGTCGGGTCACCGGGCGTCTGCTCACCGGCTGCAGCCATCGCCCGACCAGCACGCCGTTCACTTCCGACACCTACACTGACCAAAGCTTCGGCAATCTCGATTTCGTTAAAGGCGTCATACGGCTTTGCAACAGCACCGTCTACCCTATCCCTTACTGTAACGGTCAAGGCTTCCACTACTAGGACAGCGGGGACAGATTGGGCCTGTAGTTGCCTTCAACGGGAGATCTCGGCGGCAAGGTGGATGGGAGGGGAGTACACAGTTGACTGCGCATGCCTTGGTGGGCAGAACAGCTGTTGCCCAGACGGTCTCATCTAAGGGCAAGGTGATTTGAAGACTCTATTGCTACCAGCGTGTGATAAAATGGTCTTTAGTGTGGTAAGGGCAATATATATGCCTTGACGCATGGATTGAGGCAGTGGTCTGGTGAGCGCAGGCGCGCTGTAATCAAGTATTTCGGCCAACAGAAGAGAGATGTCTAATAATACCTCAATCATTTGGAGGGATTCAGAGGCGAATAACGTGAATATAATTTTCATAAGGTTGGAATTCAGAGTGTGATGTGGTTAAAGACTGAGGATAATAACAGAGCGGGGAGAAAGAAATGAAAGAAGTGGAAAAAGAAGTAGGATAAGGAAAAGAATAAAGGTAATGAAAAGGTTGATTTCTTCTTGTCATGGAAACCATGCTGCTGTAGATTGGTGTTGGGCTGTGAACGATGCGTCAGCCCTTCAGAAGGTGTGTCAGTTGCCCACCACCTCCAGATGACCGGCCTCAGCGTTTCCAGCAGCGCACACCAGGCGAAGAAGTACTCCTGCATTGAAGCCAAGCAGAGGTATCTAGGCCATTAAAGAGACAGAGAAGCCAAAGACCTCTATAAAGAGAAGAAACAGGAGGAAACCACAAGGCAAATCGATTACTCACAGTGTATTGATTTTGCGGATGGAATAAGCGTAGAGCGTTAGTGGCGTATCATGGAGCCGGAGCGGGGGAGGGGCAAAGCCATGAGGGATGGGATTAGCACAGAAGGCGGGAACTGCCACATGAGACTAGCTATCAGAACCCGCGACAGCGGAGAAGGAATATAAAAAGATAGACGAACCAGCCTTAAGAAGGTATCAGTAGAGGAACTAATTATGGAGCATGTGATGCTAAATCATTACACCCAATTGTTTCATAGACCTTACTCCCTTATTTGTTTAGTTGTATTCCAGGTTACCCCTCCTGAGGCTATCACCACGCTTGTCTACTGGACCCAGCATGGCGACTAACAGTATATTTCATTCCAGGACCGTCTCCCGTCGCTTGTGTACGTGTCAGGGTCGGCCGCTACGGTGCTGTCGGTGCACTATCCAGGGATCCGTAGCAATCATAGATACTTCATGTCATCAGCCGCCCTGTGATGTAACTACCTTAGGCCCTCCACTACAGACTATGCGACGTAATAGCTACCGCAGGTAGTCCCCATAGGTCTATAGCTAGAAAGCCTACGGCCAGGGATGATGATGATAACGGGTCGATCATCACCACAGCTTCCACTCTATACCACAGATGTACGTTCTCGACCCGCTCATGCCATGTACTGAATACCTTACCTTGAAGAAGGGAAATATAATCATAACTTACGGTCCTTAGGCCCTCCCCGTTTCATAAGGCCTGGCTAGCCTCTGGCAGGTCAGAAGGAGCCATGGAGCTTACAACAGCAATGTCGATCTCAGCTAGCTTCTACTTCTGTGATTTCTTCACCTTTCACTCGATCGAATGTCTCACAATTATATGATCAAACCAAACTCTTTTCCTTCTATAGGTACGTTCTATGGAACCAATGAATATTTTGCGCCCAAACACACAAAACATGAGATCAACAAAATGACGGCGCCCGAGAGCCTGAAGGAAGGCCCTGAGGCGGTAGCGCAGATCCCCATACTACTCCTCTTACTGTGGTTTTCCGATAACATTTTTCTTCCAGCTTCTGTAGTCGACGACCACGTTATCGGGGAGCCGCTTCCATTCCTTTTTGCAATCGACCTGGATATCTAGGTCCCTGTCGTTGACGAGGTCTGACGGGATGAGCAACTGCTTAGCCCCCTTCGCAAATTTGACCCCGGGATCGTTGGTTTTGTCAATCTTTGACATTCGAAGGGCGCGATGAAACGCCTCGTCGTCAACCTTCACCTTGTTAACGGTTTGCTTGGCCGCCCACTCATACTGCTTATTGATATTCCACCAGGTGTTTTCCGGGATCCAGGCTTTAAGAACGTTCTCGACGGCCTTCTTATTAGCGGTTACATGACAATGCCTGAACGGAGAATGGCGGTTAAGGTTAAGTAGTCTAGTGGTGGTGTGACATGTACGTACCAATCACCGGGGTTCCCAACCCACTGCCCGGGACCAGATGTGAGGTAAACGCCCTTTCCGATTTGCGCAGCTCCACGTGTTAACCCGGGGTTATACACAAGTCTATGCTCCCTGTTGTACGCCCTTGCTTGGTCCTAATTTCTTCGTAAGTCTGCGGTATCATACTGGCGCCAATCTTCCTGGTGCGGGATGGGGGAGAAAAGGAGAAAAAAAAAAGGAAGAAAAAAACAGGCGGAAAGAGAAAAGAAAAACAAAAAAGGCAGAGAGAAAAAAAAAGAAAAAGGGGGGGGGGGAGGGGGGGGCTCTTACTGGATGAACAGTCCTGTAGCCGATTGTGACGCGACCTGCCTGCGACGTTGATGCCGAATTCCCCCCCGGCGTCGACGCCGATTTCCCTCCCGAAGTCGACGCACAGCAGCCTCCTTGGCGAGGCTCTAAGGGTACGGAGGCGACGCCCCCAATAAGGGCAGTAGCCCACAAGACAGTGACGATGCTCGGAGTGATCATCATAAGGGCTTTCCAACGGAAGATGTAGTAGAACTGTAGGTTAGTAACCAGGGTAGTTGGACTGTCTCGGCTGGGTCAATGGGCATAGCTGCTTCTTATACTTATACTTGGGAGGGCTTCAACACAGAGATCACAAGCTCCCATCGATTCGGGCCTGGCATGGAAAGACCGGGGGTTTCCAAGCATGTGCCGTCCTTCGATAGACGCGAGCCGCCGCAGAACAGGGCTGCACCGCCAGCGGCAACGCCGCCGTATAACGCAGGGGAATGCATTAAACGTCGGCCACTGCCGAAATGACTAACAAATAATAGAGTGCAAGCACACGAACGGTTTTGCGCGGGCCGGCGGACGTGGGTGGGCGAAAGCGAACGCAGCAGCGACATAACAAACGTCCACAACCACAGCGATAGCCCTTGGCGGCAGCCTTGCATTTCTTGAGAAGCTGTTGTAGAGCTATTGAGGTACGGTATGCATCACCCTGATAGACCGGACACCGCTGGCGGTTCGTCCGAGACTGGGGGGGAAACAAAAAAAAAGAGGAATATATAAAAACCGAAAGCAAGACAGTATGCTGTGGGTAATGGAAACATTTTTGTCCCACATCTCGGGTTGTCCGATAGGCAGGGGGAACATCTGTATAGGGTCGGGTCCTTGCTTGGCATCGAGGCACACCCGAGTAACTGTATACAACTATTGGCTAGAAACATATGCGCCGCCCGTGTCTTCTCTTCTCTCCGACCACCCCTGCCCGAACGGGGAACCTCGACGAGCTTCACAGAGTCCGCCCCCTCCCCCCCCCCCCCCCCCCCCCTCCTCCCCCCGGCGCCAAGCCACCTCGTCCAAGTTCCCTCGCCTGGCGACACATCGCAAAGACACAAGGTGCTAACGACTTATAGAGGTGGAAGGCGTACGCGTGCATCTTAGGACCAGCAACAAATATACCGCAGCGTCTTACTACAGAGCTGGTTATAGAATCGTTTTGCAAGGGGGGGAAGGAATGGCCAGGCTGAACATGCCGGAGTCGCCGCTGTTGACGCGAGATTGGCACGCCTACTACTAACGACCGCAAACCATTCCCGACATAACGTGTCCGCTGCTCAACAGGCCCCGTCAACATTAACATGAGATTCAATCTTCAATTACAGAGGCTACCTCATAATCTTCTGCCCAGTCTATCTTATTAACTGACCAACTAACTCCGTATTATTGAGTAGTTCAGACACCATCCATTCTATAGGTCTATCAGTATAGACGACAAAGGCTGGATAGTCGTTATGCGTAAGCAGGCGCGTTTGCGATGGCGTCTGGGTGCAATTTGACGCAGAGGTCCGGGTTCCGGGTCGTCCAGCTATGTGACTGCATGAACCCCAGCTGCAGGCTCATGATGTCCTAAGTGGCCAGCGAACAGCCTTCTCCTTCGATCTTCGCTCCAAGCTTTCATGGAGGCAGTACGTCACCGCATTAGCCAAGCCGATGAACTGGCTCGAGCTCTGCAGAGCCGCCAGCAGCAAACCATGCGATTCAACCCCAGACGCTTCCATCACTCTGTTCACAAGGGCGGGGATCCAGAGCAGGATATACAAGATGGGATACGAGTTGAGGAGCATCATACGCCTGATACGCCGCTCCAACCTCCGGGTCTGCTCGTCAATCGAATGATGAGCCGTCGCCGCAGCGGTGAGGTTCGGCAGCATTACCTTATCACTCGCGCCGACGTCTCGGCTAGAGCTCGGTCGGGAGTCCGCCAGATAATCATCTCCCCACGGTTGAGAGTTACACGGCGATAGCATGCTTCTGGTACTGCTGTCTGATGTCAAACACCTCGTAACAGGCAACGCTGTGGCGTCCGTCGCCAGCGGGGGAAGGTCGTATCCCAGCGGTTCTGCGGTCCGTGGAGGGTGTCCCCCACCCATAGCCGCGACTTGCGGCCGTGGCCAATCCACGTCCAATCGACTCACGGTCGTCTGGCGTGCTGTCAACGGAGCAGCAGTGGTCGTCAAGCTTCTGGTCCAGCCTAAGGAAGCCGGCGCCATTGCAGCGGGCCGAAGGCGCTGGCCGAGGTACCACCAGACATAAGCGTAGATGGAAACGGTGGCAAACATGATCCACAGACGCCAAACGTAGGTGAGGGCAAATCGGAGATCTGGTCGGTCCCACGTTATCCAGCACCAGTTCCCGCTGACGGGCCCCACGACGCCGATGGCAGCCGCCGCGACGCTGGTCGCAATAGGGACGATCCACACGCAGAAGCAGATGGAGACCCTCTCGAGGAACGTCCCCTCCGCCATGGACGTTTTTTGTTTCACTACCAGAAGTGTGGCAATGGCGATGGCGAGGATGGAAAAATCGGACGCTTGCACTGACAGTTGACCAATCACGCTGTTCAGGACACATGCTGTTCCGCGTCGCAACCCTTGGTCTCTGATATATATAATCCCCGAGACGGTGTTGTTGGCCGAGTTAATGAATTCTTTTTTCGTTTGGAAGCCGTTAGCCCTCTCGTCTTCTCGGAATAATGTTAACGGGAACCACTTTACCGGCCACCATGAGGTTGAGAATGAGGATGTGGCGCAAAGACCGGCGCCGGGTGCGGTGGAGACCGATGGAGATCAATGCGCCAAACGTCGTCAGGAACGAAAGACTACTCCCCATCAACGTCAAAGACGCAACTAGTACGTTGAAAGCCATTGTCGACGTATGGCACCACGATGCTGTAGCTCTTTCCTATACAACTACCTCACGCAGAAGCCTTCACTTTGCTCCGTGTAAGGTCGAATATATGACCAGCGAGAGACCATCTTCGCCGTACTGGCCCAGTTACACGATGACCGGGAACCGTCGCGGATTGGGGTCCATCCAACTTTCAATTGCGGGGCTATAACTGACCGGTAGTGCCATTCGAACCTTAGCAAGGGCGCGTCTCCACCAAACCCGGTCAAAGAAAAAAGAAAGGCGTGGGGAGGGGAAGGAAAAAAAAAAAAAAAAAAAAAGAAGAAGACTCTCCGAGGGGGAGGAAGAGGGAAACATAGGAAAAGGATGAGGAAAAAATTGGGGGCCCTCACGGCGCGGCGTGATCTATGTCAGGGTGAACTAAACGCCATTTGGCCGATGGCATGGCATTGTCTGGGCACCGGAATACCGTTTTAACCCTAGTCGTGATCTAAACGGAGTGGGGCCGAGGTAGCCGCAGGTGAGGCAGTCGGCAAGGGACACTAGAAAGACAAGGGGTCAAGGTGGGGGAAGTGAGGTCTACTTTGCCGACCAAGGTGTTTTTTTGTTCCCTGTCTCCTTCGGTTCCGGTGCCCGCCGCGGAAGATTGTTCGTTAGAAGTCTTGAGTCTGCAAACAACCGGCTTCGGACAGTCCGCAGGCAAGCTGGACAACCGCGCGTTTGAGCTACCAGGTCAGCGGCCACTGCTCGGGGCCTCGCAGTCATCTGTACACTGCCTGCTGGTCTACCGGCCTGCTGCAAGAAAGTCGCGTCTCCCATCCCTCGTTAGACTGTGGCATAAGCATTCGGTACGATGCTGGATCAAGAGACGGTTACCACATGTATCAACCATTGTCTGACGATCTATGATGAACACCGCTTGACGGCTGGTAGATTGAGATTAAGATTAGCGTATATATAAATATGCTCGGCGATTCACTAGGATCCGACCTGCCTGCCTTCGCCCTCGGTCGACCCAGACAGCCGTCATTTGTCAACTGACGCTGTGTTCTTGGCGCAAGCCTACCCGTGTTGCCTCGTCTTGGATTCGGATGCCTCACCCGGATACCTATTGTATTATTACGTACATACTATGGTAACCAGATTTCGTACGTACCGCAACCGTCATCGAGGCGCACATGCTCAAACGTGTACGAGTCAACGCTGGGGGATTTTCTGCTTGGTCAACCCTCCAACAAAATCCCCCACTCGTCTCTCGACCTCACAGAGAGCTAATTTTAGGTCACCACGACACGACAAGAAACTGACATCGCCGGCATCCACGGCTTGCCGCAGGTCCGTCGCCGATTCCGTGAGCCACCTGGGCGACGGCTTTCAAGAGAAGGCTTTCAAGAAAAAGACCGAGCGAGCTCGACGTCCGGCAGCAACATAGCGCGACTAACGTCTAATTGGTAGGAACTATACTGTTTCTACTTGACATATCCCCGAACGCCAACCATGCTAGTTGGGCATAGCATGAGCCGCTGTTTAGAGGGCAACGAGATCTTTACAGGAACGCCATCATTATCTATTGTACTTCATTGATTACCTAGTACATTGCTACTAAACAGAGCATGAGGTCCATCCATCCCATGGCCGTCCACCACACACCACACTTATTACAGCGTGCCGAATCTTGCTTAGACTGTCTTGATACTAACGGGTTTCAGCCTTAGGACGCTAGTTCCGGGCAACCAAACCCGCGCACATCCTCTCGACGAGCTCGAAGGTGTTGTCGAGGGCATTCGTATCGGCCAGGTTCTTCCGGAACGGCCTGATGCCGTCCGTGTAGTGCTTCCTGTTGGTCCTGATCTTGGAGAAGGCGTCCCGGATCTCCCTGACGGACACGTAGTCCGTCTTGGAGAGCGCGGCGTAGGGGATCTGCGGCAGGCCGATGCCGACGCCCATCCTCTCGAGGCGACGTGCGAAGTACGTCTGGTCGGCGGCGTAGTCCGTCGGCAGGATGATTTGGGGGACGCCGGCGGCGATGGCGTCCGTCATGGAGCCGACGCCGCCGTGGGTCAGTACCAGGGACATTTCCGGGAACAGCGTGGCCCACGACGTCTCACCCACAAAGAGATGGAAGACGCGTCCGTTGTGGGTGACGCGCCGGAAGCTGGACTCGGACCGTT